CCGCTCATCGCTCCATCACAGCCGGCGGAGCTGCCTTCAGGTGATCATGAAGAGCTGCGTGTCTCCTCTCCTGTCCGATTAGACTTCACTCGCGTTTATGTCCATACTCCAGATCAAACAAATCTAGCTGGAAGCTCCTGCTGGGTCCTGCGAGAGACCGGGACCATTATTGTCCTTGTGTGGCTGCAGCCTTAGGCTCATGCTGGTAAGTGGCCCATCGAAATGAATGCAAGAAAGCAGAATAATTGTTTTAATAATACAGGTATCTCTTTAGAAAAGCACATCAGCATTATCAGCCTGTTCAGTCCTGTTTCCCAAGTTGTTTTAACTCCAGTTCCTCTTGAAATGTGAGATGACCTGTTACGGTAAAAGTTACATTACATTACATGTTACATTACATGTTACTTGTTAGATGCTTTTATCCAAAGCGACTTACATACTCAATACTGTGGACAATCCCCACAGGAGCAATTTGGGGTTCTAGTAGAACACCAGCAGGATATCCACCCTTTATACTTGATTTAACATGCTTACCTGAGGGTTCAAAGCGTTTAATACCATTATTGAATACGATATCTTTGGAATGCATTAAGGGACTCAAAGATCATATTTAGGTGGTGAAAGGTAAATGCCACTGTAACCTCAAAGCGGTTTTGGAAATGACTCACAAATGAGTTCAGACATCTTTTTGTCTAAATTTCATCTTACAGCGTATCAAATAAAATCATCAATGTACATTTCCTTCATTTTAACAATATGTATTATCAATATTCTAAGTAGGATATCTTTAACATAAAGTTACATGCAACTTGTATTGTGCTTTTATGCTTAACATATTTTTCAACCAGACAGCAACTTCTTAATAATAATAAAGTGGTTATGTTGGAAAAGTGCAGACAAACCATCATAATCATGCACATGTGTTGGTGCTCATTGGTGAACACATTACTTGGTTTTGATAATGTTCGTAAGAGATACAGCTGACGTAGAGGCCAATCCAAATATGGTCAAGGTGTGTAATGCTTTATCGGTTAGACTAGCCAGAGCGTAGCAGGTTAGTTTCATAAAACTCATCTCTTTCACATCATTCCTATAGAGTTGTTCTCTCTAACAAACTGTTTAATGAGGGTGAACAATCCATTTTGATTGGCTTAATTATTGGAGCTATTAACTGGATTACCTGCGCTCTATATTTGGCCCAATAGACTGGATTCATCTTCTTATTATAGACACATGCATTTCCAAACATTTGGTCTACCTATGCTGTTAAATGTATTATCTTTTCGATTTACATACAGCATCTATTGCACGTCTGTCCGCCTGGGAGAGGGATCCCTCCTCTGTTGCTCTCCCTGAGGTTTCTCCCATATTCCCCTTTAAACTCTGGAAGTTTTTCCTTTTACGATGTGAGGGTCAAAGGACAGAGGGTGTCGTATCGTATTGTCATACTGATATTCTGTACAAACTGAAGTCCACTGAGACAATTGTAACATTTGTGATATTGGGCTATATAAATACACATTGATTGATTGATTGATTGATTGATTGATTGATTGATAGACATACACTTTACGGAACTGAAAAAAGCTATCAGAGAGATTTTAGCAAACCAGTCTGTCCAAGAGTCAGGATATGAGTTAAACCCCTGTGTAAACTTTGTTTGCATCTTTACTGTGCTGTAATGCTAGTGTAAGAACAAGCAGGAGAAAAATCAGGCAAGTATCCCACAGAATGAAAGGACATCCCGAGCCTTTCATATCGGCCTCTTTTTTATCTGTGTGTTCTTGTTTCTATCTCTTTTGTCACACACAAGCGAAACTAATCCCATCTTAAGCCCTTTTCCATCCCTACCATTTTCTTTCCTTTTAGATGAAGCTTCCCCTCTCATTGCATCTTCCCAAGTTGAGAAACTGCAGCAAAGAAATTGTCCCAACTCCTAGTTCTTACAATCTCTTGCCTGACCGCATTCGATTTTAATTTGCAGCAACCCAAGCAGAGTAATTGGCCAAATTGATAAAAGATTATAACTCAATTTCCCTATTTACTAAATAATTCCTACAGTATTGGGAAGTTTGTCAGATGCTACAGACTGAGACCTCATTATGCCCTGACACAGTGTAGCCACAGGCGTCCACTGACTTCCATGGTGTTTTCCTGGGGAAGCCTGTGAGCCCCCTGTCTGCCCTGCCAAAGATGTGAGCCACATGACCCTGTCCTGTGCCACTGATCTGAGGGAGTCGACTGGCCTGGTGTCCCAGCGTCCTCTGAGCATACAGGTCAGATGGGCATGCATACGCCATTTCCCGCCTGGACAAACTGATAAGCAGTAAAGGGGATTATTTCCCCTCGCCTGCCTTTTCACACATATCCTGTACTGCTACACCCTTATGCTCTGATTCCATAGTGCCTCACTCCTATCAGGACGCGTGCTGTAATATGGACAAGGCTAATACCTGTTATTCTATGGGGAGCTCTTATTTTGAATGCCGCATCGCTAGGATTTCTCCGCGTTTTCAATTAGACGCTCTGAGGCTCTCCGCAGCCTGTGGCTATGTAATCTCTTGGAGAAGGCAGATAGTCTGCGGGACACTGCTCACAACACAATTCAAAGTCTAGTTGACTCTAGTCGTGCCGAGCAGGTGTGTTAACATCAGGTCCAGACCTCACTGGGCTATGATACTGTCTCATACAGCAGATTCCTCATTACACCCATCTTTTCATTCATTCATTTAATCCCACAGTTGCATGCTCTTAGTATCACACAACACATTCCGATCATAAATCATACAAAATCAGATCTTAATGTATGTATATGTTCAAATTAAAGATCAAATTATAATCAAGAAATTAAAAAAGATTAGATTACCAAGGTTCACTAGGAATCCTCAATACTGCCCCCTAATTAGTGGAATGCTGTTTACTTCGAACCTTTATATCTTCTTCTTCTTACTTCAACCAATATTTTAGCGTTCGATAACTTCAGCCTACTTTCAGCTACAGAAACCATTCAAATATCAAAAATATTCAGCCTTTTCAGCAAATGTTTTCAAAATATTTTATACTTTTTGAAATATTCAGCTTTGTAAACTCTTTTTTTTAACATGTAACTCAATGGGAGGAACCTTCAAATCCTCTTTTACCTACACCTTGCGCCAGATGCTTCTCCTTCCACATACTTTCAGCGAGAGACTTAATTCCAACTTTAAAATGATCACAAGACCAAAAGTCAAAAGTTTGCAGTTAAAATATTCTGATGCTTTTCAAAGCGTTTTTACTTTATTTTCTCTTCTTAATACAAATTCATTCACTACTAATTACATTTAATATCTAACTCCTTCAGCCTACTTTCAGCTACAGAAACCATTCAACTATTAACTTATTCAGCTATTTCAGGACATTGAGGCTATACATTTTGTTGTTTATACCTTTTTTATACCTTTTCTTTTCAATATTAAGCTTCTTCACTATTTTTCCTACTCTTCCAGTTTAACATTTCACTTTAAGTTTCCAACAAAGTCNAGAACAAATAGGAAAGGACTCTCCTTTCACAGCACATCTCCATGGAAACCTTTGATCTCTGGGCTCACTTAAACAGGTGTTTGATAACGTTGTCACCATGGTAACCTTGATCTCTGGGCTTACACACACAGGTGTTTGTAAACATTCATTCACTACTACTTACATTTAATATCTATCTCATTCAGCCTACTTTCAGCTGCAGAAACCATTCAACTATTGACTTATTAAGCTATTTCAGGACATTGAGGCTGTTTGGACATGTTGTTGTTTATACCTTTTTTTAAACCTTTTCTTTTCAATATTAAGCTTCTTCACTATTTTTCCTACTCTTCCAGTTTAACATTTCACTTTCAAGTTTCCAACAAAGTCATTGCAATGCATTTGAGCTGTAACTATTTTGATTCAAATCATTTCACTTTTCTGCATTTTCTGCTAAATTCAGCCACAAATGTTCACAGTTTACAGCACTCGCACGCATTTTCTGCAGGAAATGCATTTTATAGTTAGTGCGAATGCTGTTTACTGAATGCACTGAACTTGTCATTCTGCTTCCTGCCTTTGAAGTATCATGTATCTCTGCAGATGGTAACCACAGGCAGGGTCTCTGCAGAAACGTCCCAGAAGTAAACTGCTACTGAAACAAAGATGCCTATACTTTTCCTCTATGCCTCTTACGTACTGCTGGTTTACATGTTAAAATGTTCTAGGCCCTCATAGCAAGCATTATGGATCGACTATGGCTGCTGTATCAGTTAAAGTGTTCATGTGTTATCAGCTGGTGGATTGTCATCATCCTGCAATAGTCTCTGGTTTCAACTCCTATACTAAACTCTACACTCGCAACTCCATCCCACTTAGTTTTACTTAAATTTAAGTGACAACTATAGCTTGTTACTCTACTGATTATATTTTATTTTACTTGTTAATATTGTAATACAGTATATTAAACCAACAACAGTATATAAAAGCAGGTCAATTAGCTACACGTCAACATTAAAATGCTGCGTACACATTATGATTACACTATAAAAATCCAGTAATAAAATAAATGCCTTTACCACTAATGGTGACACTTATTATAATATAAGTTTAAAAGTATTGAGGGTCTGGAAAACATTTCATTTTCTCTTCACATTTTTTCTCAGAGTTTTTGTTGGAAATAATCTGTTAAACTGACAGATGGAGGTTTCAAGGCAACACAATTAAACTGGTATATTTATTGTTGTTTCATCTCATACCTAATAATGTAATCAGTGATTCAATCACTTTACTGTGCCCAGTCACCCCCATTTAAAAATAATTTGAGATGTCATGAAAAGTTGATTTGACAATAGTTAAATGTTTAGTGTTCAGCGTATGGATACAGATGCTGAGCATCAGGCACATTAAGAATGTGCTATGCAGCTCAAACCACCTCTCGCTACTTCATTTCCTCTGCTCATGTTGTGGTTGACAGACAATGAGCGCTTTTCCTGGTGACAATATAGACGGGCAGGGGGGTTAACTCAACACATGGTGGAATTTTAAGCTCCAGAGACAGAAAGACAGACAGCTTCGGTTTCAGCTGGGTTCTGATCAGCATCAAACTGGTGTTCATCAAAAAACACAGGTACAGCTTTTAAGAATCATAATAGAGCATTTCATGTGATTGTATGAGCTCAATGTGTCTTTTCGGTGCGTTCTTATTGTTTTGGGCTTCAGGTTTGAAAGGATGTTCTCACAGCAAACTCCTAAAACGATTGTATCGTACCTCCTCTTGTTATTAATGACATAAAAGATAGTTTGTTTGATTTGTGATTATGTATACATCATGAATATAGTCCCTGTTTATTCTTTTTGATTGTTCTTTTAAATGCTATAATATTACCTTTCAGAATGTGGTGACATTCTGTTATAGCCATAGAAGAAGAAACAATGAATTATAACAGCAGTTCAGGTGAGCTCTGAGGTTTCACAGATAACATTTACATCTATTTGTGTTGACCGCCACATTGTGAGAGCATAGAGCTAACTGTTTGTGTATTGTTGGATCTTTCAGGCCAGCAATTGGAAGCACCTGTCTTCATCCTCACAGGGGCCCTCTCCGTCACGGTCCTGGTGTTCACAGTGCTGGGGATCGTGTGTCTCAGAAAGTAAGGCATGGTGAAATGATTTCACAAGCAATTTACTGGACGATTTGTCCTCATGTTTCCTTTGATTAATCTGAGTTAGGTTTGACTAGGGATTTCATTTAAATCTTTATTTCGAACAGATTACATTTTTTTTGTTGAAAAACAGAATACCATATTGTTAAAATACAGTATTTATTAATATTCATAATGATATTTATATTCAACAAAAAAGTCATAATATTTATATATTCAACAAAAATATTCATAATAATGATAATAATGTGTCCGAAAGGGAGCATTTTCTTTTTCAAAAGTATAACATATCAACAAGTGCAGGTGCCCTTGATTAAGTACTTGTAGATCCTATTACCTGGTTCAGGTGAAAGGAAAACTAATGGTGTTAGTTTTCACAATAATAGTACTTTTTTACAACAGTATAACCATGTCAAAGTAGGTAACAGCACAGATAACTCACAACATGAAGAATGTCTCCTTTTCATTTAAGTGTAAGCCAAAGCATGTGGTTTTCCTACCCTGTAAATATGTCTGCTGTGAAAATGTCCAACACCATGAATTACAACAGAAACCCATAACAAGTTAACCTAATGGTAGTTATTTCGCTCCAACACTTTACTTGCTGTAGGTTTAGCTGTAGGCCTACTTTAATTGCAGAGCTAACGAGCAAATGTTAGCATGCTAATACAGAAAACAAGATGAAATTACCTGGTAAACATCAGCATGTTGGAAGTGATTTACAGCTTATGTTAGCTTCCTAAAAAAGAAGACAATACAAGTTAAAACCTGCTTAATTTAAGCCTGTTAGCATTGTCAATTTGAGCCTAGCTATTAGCATGCTAACAAGACCAGTTGTGCCATAAGTACAGAACGGTTTTTGCTAGGCGCTTGTTTTTTTTCATACAGTTTAAGAAATATTTAATTAATTCCAGATTTGTTTGTGAAATATCTTTTGAGGCCTTGAATTGGAAACAGTGCAGTTAGCACCCATGGCTTAGTCCAAATGTTGTTTTACATACAGTCAGGCTATTTTTATTTCTCTGTAGCTTCATTTTTTCAACTCCCCTGGCACAGCTTCATTTGATTTCTGATGGAATCAGAGGCAAACCATGTGACAATACGCACAGTGTTCTGTGTTTTTTTTCTTTTTTTCTTGCAGATATTGTTCTTTGGTCCGGACCATTCGAGAGCTGCGAGGCAGCAGGTTGTTGATGACTGCAGTTCCTCGGCTGGAAACTTTGATCGCGCCAGCAGTGGTGGAGGAAGAAGATCAGCTTCCCCAGATCCCCCAGATCCCCCAGCAGCAGAGCAGGACAGTCAGGCTCTCCTCTCGGAGGCTATGGAGAAGCTTTCAGCAGGTATATTACTGTCTTCATGTCATCACATGATTCCCAGATATTTTGCTGTCAGATATTTGAACTATTTTTGTAGTGCTTTATTTAGTTAGTCATCTGAAGCTACAGCAGAGGAAATCTCAGATGCAAGAACAACTAACCGGAGTGTTCTCTCTAGCCTACATGTCACACATCTATGTCATCTCACTGTCGATGTACAGTATCATTTCTGATCATCTCTCTTTGGTTTCAATATATGTTATTAGTTACTGTAGCTTAAGCTCCGGTACAATGTGGACAAAATATGTTTGTGACTGACCAGTATGGTGTTGTTTGTCCTCTCAGTGTCCTGTACTTACCCACTGCTGTTCTGCCCTGATTTGATACTGCAACATTACCTCCTATGGCATTTGTTTAAGGGTCCTCGTGTTACCAAGTCAGACCTGAACCTGTTGCAGCTGATCAAAGCAGGAAAGGAGGGTGTCTTCTACCAAGCCAGGATGACCAGGGGGACGTGTAAAGGCCACAGCATGTTCACCTGCAAGATCAGCAAGGAAGGTACACATTTCTCTGACTGGAGGTTTGGACCGACAAGCATTTATTTGAAATGGAAGCAGTGATAATCAATCCGTTTTGAGGTTAAGGTGCAGAGGCAAAGATCAAAACTTTATCAGTTTTCAATGATAATAGAAGTGTACGGCCATCCTTAATAGATCCGCAAACCACCTCAACTAGTTAGCTCTACGCAAAAGAGCAGCGGCTCTACTCCGAGTCCCTCCCGGATGCGGATGACTGAACTTCTCATCTTATCCCCAAGGGTGATGGCAGCCACACTTCAGTTGCAAGTATTTGCAATCTCGTTCTTTCACTCATGACACCTCCTTCATGACCATAGGTGAGAGTAGCAACAAATATGGGCCTGTAGCTTGAGAGCTTTGCCTTCTGGCCCCGCTCTCATCTCACACTTTATGGTTCCCTCACTCGAGTACAAGACCCTGAGATACTTTAACTCCTTCCCTTGGGGTAAGGACTCATTCCCGACATGTACAGCCCAACGATTTCCTGCTGAAAACCATGGCCTCAGATTTAGAGGTGCTGATCCTCGGCTATCAAACCAAACCACTGAGTGCTGAAGGGTGCCGACCGAAGGCATCATCAGAACCAAATTATCTGCAAAGATTTGTGATGGAATTCTTAGCCCAACGAACAGCAGTCCCCCTCCCCATGACTTTGCCTTGAAAACCTGTCCTTTTAAGGTTTTAACTTTGGCAAAATGATTTGTAACTATAATTGATAAGAATCAGTATCAGTGTGTTTAAGACAGGAAATGCTTCTTTTGTTATCTTTAGTTTAATTTTGGAGAAAGTTCCTTAAAAATTGATTAAATGATGCCATGTTTCTTCTGCCTAGGAGATCAAAAAATGATAACCAGGACTTAAAGTGGCTACACTAAGAAAGTTGAAAGACCAGCTACACTCGCAATGTATCATAATATTCTCTACAGTAACATAATTTTTTTTCTTAACATTGGTTTATATGTTAATGAATAAGGTAGTCAAACGACATGAAACTGACACTGTCAATGCTGTGGTGAGAAAGCGTGAAGGAAAATATGAAGATAAAACACTCAGCCCACCTTCCTCCTCTCCTACACAAAATGAGTGCTGTGGGTTGTCCTCACAACTAAACAGTGTTTAAAATGTGTCACAATGTAACACAATGTACCTTGAAAACCACCAGGACTTCAGAGGTGCTCTCAGTAATTCCATTATATTGACATTTCATCTAATAGTCAAGTAAATGTATGTATTTTGACAAGTCAGTCCACCCAAATGATAGATAACAACACTTTGTCACTCATCCTTGGTGGAATTTGATGTGCTATGGTTATAAGATAACCGTGAACTATTTATTCTGTAGAAGAAGTTGCATTTCCCAAGATAACACTAATAAGAGCTTAGAGCTATACAAATGAATTGTGGGGTTCTGCAAGAATCAATTTTAGGTCCTACACTTTTTTTTTGCTATACTTTTAAATGAGACACAGCATTATTGCCATACTTATGTTACATTGCCAAGGACTTCATTAACTGAAATGAAGATGTTAAGATATGGATGGCTGAGAATTTTCTTCATCTTAATTAGGACATAAACAAACTCTTTGAAAAATGGGTTCAAAACTTTAAAAACTGTTTTGTTTTTTGTGAAGCACTTTGTTTAACTTTATTACTTTTTTTATGATTGATTAATATCTTAGATTTAGATGGAAATGAAATTGAGAAGTCTCACTCACTTCCTAGATGTAGATATTGTTTGGCCCAGTGACAGAGCTATAGTTGCATTTTCTCTCTTTTTTTTTCTTCAAGGTGTCCGTCCTAAGCATGTGGACACGGAGGTTTCCATAATGAGAAAACTGGTGCATCACAAGAACATCCTCCAGTTACTGGACTGGAACACCACTGAGGGTGAGGGACATTTTGTCAGGAAATTGGAGGACCCAAACGCAGTACAAAAGGGAATCAAGAAGTATTAACAAAAAGGGAATCAAGAAGTATTAACAAAAAGGGAATCAAGAAGTATTTACAAAAAGGGAATCAAGAAGTATTAACAAAAAGGGAATCAAGAAGTATTAACAAAAAGCGAGCTTTATTCAAAATCTGAAAACAAACAAAGAAAAACTAACCAGGGGCATACAAGGAACAGGAACGAACAAACTCACGGACACCTACCTACTGTAACTCCAGCTTCTATGAGTATTGGCGAAGCCTTCTAAGGCTATCGCTATTGGGTAATCCCCTGCGCACCCGCGCAGCACTGAAACACTTCTAGTCCGTCTAGTTCCGGTATAAATAGGAAGGAGGCCCGACAATCTGCTCCCATACAAAATAACTTTTCTTCAGCTATTCGTAGAGCCAGTGGGGCCCAGCGCTTAGAGGGCTGCGCCATTTACTCATAGAAGCTGGAGTTACAGTCGGTAACTTCAGTTCTATTTCGTATATATGGCTTCGCCCTCTAAGGCTATCGCTATTGGGTTAAGGGCGAAGCAGGATGGAGTCTGCGCCCCACTGGGTCCGCCCGGTACTAGAAGCACAGACACACCTGCTCAGATAATAATTACCCATGCCTATTGCGCCATGCGTAATGGCGCATCGCCGTCCCTGGAATATAGCATAACATGAATATTTTCCATGAGGGGACGAAGGCTGGGAACAATACATACCTGCCGCTGTGAAAAAGAGACGAAGGTCATACTTTGCCCAGTGACAAAAAGAGGGGGAACAGCAGCTCTCTGCGTGTCAGACAGGAGAGCGCCCAGCTGGATCCCTGACGTCACTCACTCTGACAAGACACTCCGTACAAAATGTGTCAGAGGAAAAAAAGGAAACATCCCTCCTATAAGAGGGAAAAAGGGCCGCTCTCCGCGAGGCGAGAGGCAGGAGAGAGGCGCACAGCTGGATCCCTGACGTCACTCACTCTGACAAGACACTCAGTACAGGGTGTGTCAGAGAGGAATGGGAGACATCCCTCAAATACAATTGAATAAATGAACAGGGGGAAGACCAAGATGCAGCAGTGCAAATGTCTTCCACTGACATTCCTCCGTGCAAAGCTGTGGAGGAGGACATTCCTCTGGTGGAGTGCGCATTGATGTTCTCCGGGGATCCACCCCAGAGGAGACATATGCCTGTGACACAGCTTCACACAGCCAGTGTGACAGCCGTTGTGCAGATAGAGGCTGCCCTAACAAGCGCTCTCTATAATGCACAAACAGGCGCTGAGAATGACGCAAGGCAGCCGTGCGTGCCACTAGCAGGACAGCGCGCGCGACAGAGGAGATGAGACGCGGCTTCTTCCTCCGACCTGTGAGGAGGGGAAAAGAAGCCATCCAAGGTGATCACTCTCGACTCTAAAAGAGCTTGTGATGACCTTTGGCATAAAAGCCGGGTTAGGGCGTAAAACAGCTGAACTGCCATCTCCTTGGATCCGGAAGCATGACGGAGCCACAGAGAGAGCAGACAAATCACTCACCCTTTTCGCTGATAGAGCCAAGAGTATATACTACTTTGGCTGACAACAGTTTAAGGGGAACCTGGTCTAAAGGCTCAAATGGGGCTTTGCTTTAGTGCGCGTAACACCAAAGCCCACTGAGGCGCCATTGCGCGTGACACAGGTCTGAGTCTCCGTACTCCTCGCATAACACGGCTGATGCGCTCTGCGAGCCCCTCTGTTCAATTGGCCGGGAATATACATTGCTCTGATGAGAGCAACGTGTGTACGCGCCCAGAACAGCAGCCGCCTGGCTGCTTTCAGAAGCTGCGCAGATCGTACGGTACTCCTCCCTGGCGCCGTGGCCTGTTGTCTGTGCGAATCAGCACATTGATTGGACAGCAACGGGGCGACTCCCCCGTTTTTTTCCCGAGATTTAGAAAAATAGCGGAGTAAAAACCGCGCAAGACACTGTTCCTGGGATGACAGGAGTGTTTCTTGTATCCCATAGAACTGCTGGGGGGAGAGGTTTCTCTGTGATGTGCCGTAATGGTCGTCATGGTGACGAGCCACGCCATCGCCGCCGCTGCCCGTGAGGCAAAAGGGCTGCCTGCGAGGGAGTTTCCACACGCTGCATTTCACTCCGTCTCTCATCATGAGGCGCGTACACGCTCAGGGGATGAGAGGTGTGTGCATGCTGTCCACACGAGGCGTTATAACGGTGCTCGTGGGTTATTATGACCGTGTGAGGGATATCTGGGACAGAGGAATGCCGCGAGCTTTTCTGCAGTTTATAAACCAATAGGTTGAAAACAGCAGGCTTCTGCAGGGGATTAGCCAATTAATTGACGTTTGCGACGCGATAATCTCGGCCGACGGTGTTAGCAATACATTACATCTGTCGTCCGAGCGACGTCTTCGGACGGCAAAATTGGAGCCAAATTATTGGACGTCTCGAGACGCCGTGTAGGAGACAGGCTTATTGCGGAGGGATGTGTGCCAGTATTATTTGGGTACTCGCGGCAATATCTGGTCACCGAACTTTAACCCAGCCATGAGTGGCCATGCGGTATGTCCGTGAAGACTAAATGGGTACACATGGCGTGACAGGATAGACTCATGGCGTTCCACGGCCTGACTGCATTTAACGGCCATTGAGTCGGGGCCTATTATATGCATATATACATTGCGTTGCGTCGCGTTACACCCAGACTGTGACGGTAAGTGTCTCCCACTGAACCGACAGTGTACTGGCACCGGACGCTGGATAACGGTGAGAAAGTATGTCTAGATGATTACGGGAGGTAAACCAGAGACACCAGTAAGTTCGAGCCTCCCACACACGAACCATACACACCGCGCTCGCGCTCGCTCTTTCGCCGCGTGGCCAAGCACATAACAACAATCGTTAGACCACGATCGATCGACGCGATTGCCTATATTGCCTCGGCAAAGTTGTTGTTCCCACTCCCTTCAGGGAAACGACAGTCGACTCTCGACTATTGATGTCGAGACCACTCCAGTTTATGAGAGACTCCAGAATCTATTCAATTGAATCCAATTCAATTAGAGGTCACCAAGTTTGCCAAGAGCCAGGTGGTAAAATACTTTGTGTATAAGAGCCCGCATCACTATCATTTTATACGTACTTTATTATGGTTTGTTTTAAAATTGATCGCACTTTTTTCCATTCTTATTGTAAACAACTCTCGATTTTGATCAGGAAACGACAACGGAGTTCTCGCTCGTCCCTCCTCTCGCGTGCCGTCTGGTCCTGTCCGCTAGTCCTGGGTCTGTGTGAGTGTTGATTGTTACTTGGTTTTTGTTTATTTATTTGTAAAGTTGACAAAGAAGTATAACTATAACATACAATAACCAAGGTACGGTACCTGAATACTAAATACTAATAAATATTACGTCTGTAGCGCCGTAAGTAGACCAGGCTCTATGCGGAGGATAGGTGTGCAGTATTAGTTGTCTACTAGCGGATAAATTGCGGGGTATACCAATCGTGACGTGTGTGGATGGCTAGGTACGCGACTCCGCACATGGGGCGGGAGTATCTTAGCCTCACTCCCTGCCGTCGCAAACACCTCCGGGGGCGCGTGGCAAGCAGTTTATGGTGGACCCCAACGAGTGCGGGAAACATTTGGTCGACGATATTGGATAGCAGGTTATGGTCGTACGAGCACCCATCACCAAAATTGGACAGCCATTATGGTAGAAGTCCACGGCGATTAATTCGCGTACGCTGTTTAAACAACTAATATTGTCGTCCGTCTTCGGACCGCAATTGGACATCATTTTTTGATGTCTCGATCACCGTAAGGAGACCAGGCTCTACGGTACATGTGTCCGGAATCCTAGTTCGGTACTCGCGGCAATATTGGGTATTACACCCTCGTGACGTGTGTGGATGTGTAGGGACTGCAAATGTCGCCAGAGTACTACTCTCAGCTCTCCCTAGCGTATACTCCGGAGGAGCGTCAAAGCGAGAGTTTCACGCCGGTCTAACGTTACGTAGTGTCTGTTATGTCTTGTTTACTCGTCATAGGTCCGACTCAACGGGGTCGCCGTCGCGTGGCGTCGGGTGTCCCGCGTGTCCGAGCGCGTTCTTCGAGACGACCAATATTGGATAGCCGAATTATTGGACGTCTCGAGCGATTAATTCGGCCTAACGTGGGACTAGTCAAAACTAGAATTCATCTGTCATCCGGAGAGATTATAGGTCTTCTTGCGGCCATAATTGGAGCCGAATATTATTGGACATCTCAAACCGCGTAAGGAGACAGTCTCTCATGACGGTGGAAGAGATAAGGTAATTTCCGTAACTGACCAATATTGCGGAGTACACCCGTCGTGACGGTGTGTGGAGGTAGGTACGGGGACTCGCACATGCACGCGAGTACTACTCTCGGCCTCACTTTGCGTCGCACACCTCCGAGAGAGACCGCACCGAGCAAAGTGGTACTGTTGTGGTTTTCTTGTAGAGCCTCGTACCGCACGGGCGAGAGTCTCAAAAAGAGTCTCACCGTCGCGCACCACAGACTACCTGTCCTACCTACTCGTCCGACTAGTCGTCTCCTATGCAGGACGGTCAAGCGGAGAGGGGGGGGGGTGTGTCAAGTTACCCTATGTCCTTTGTGAGGACAGGAGGGTCTTCGATACAGAACGCGAGGTTAGGCTCGACGACCTTGAGGACAACTTTCTCTCCTATAAAGGTCCCAAGGAGTTCCCTCCTTTTAAGCCCCAAAAGTGAGGGCAATAAAAGATTAGGGCTTTTCTGACCCCTTACTCTGTAGGAGCTAGACAGTCATAAGGGTGTACGACTGCTAGTTTGTCCACGACCTTACACAAGTGGTCCTGCGGACCAAGTGAAGGTGGACTTCCTACGTATGAAGGTGCATGGGTAGTAGGGTTCTGTGTCCTTTAAGGACGCAAAAGGTAAGTCCCTTATGTCTGGTCTGTTAGCAGGAGA